CAGGAGTTCAAGACCAGTCTGGGCAACATAGTGAGACCCAGCCTTTAAAAAAAAAAAAAAAAATTTCACCTGAATCTAATCAGGCTTTTATAACAAATTTCCAATTTACGGGAAACAAAGGAACAAGTGAAAAGATATATAATGACCTTATATATCTTAAATAAAAAACAACCTATAGTACAAATAGTCTCCTTAACAAGACTTCTATCATGAGACAGAGGGGAATGTACTAAGAATACATCCAAAGCCCCACATGCTATGCTAAGCCTAGAGATTACAAAGATGAATAAGTCAGTTCCTGTCCTCAAGTAACCTACTGAGAAATCTATTCAATACTTGAATATTATAAAACTAAACTTTTCAGACTTCCTATTTCTGTAAAGGACACAAAAATAGCAGCAAAAAAGATGATAAAGTATTGCTAGTACCATTTTTCGGCCTCCAGAAGATCCTGATTCACACTATTGGTGCTGTGCTCTCTGCCATCAAATGTTCTGATTTTGGGATATTCTGTTCTTCTTGCACATGCTGCTCTCATTTTTAAATTGAAAGCAGCTTGTGCTATCTGCTTATAATGCTTCCTGCTAATTAGGATCTGTTGCTTCACTTGGTATAGAGCATCTAAAAAGAATCTTTCCACTTCTGTTCTCTCATCCAGTATGTTCTTGGCCAGCTTCTTCACACGATTCATTTCCCTGTCCTTCATCTGAAGAAGGTGCTGCAGCTTGTCAATTTCTACCTGACCCGCTTGGTTCTCTATCATTGCGTGTTGCTGCAGTTTTAAAACTTCACTCTCAAACTCTTTGGTCATGTAACCCAGAGCAGTCTCCAAGTTTACTACCTTCTTCTGAAGGGTTTGGATTTGTGATCTCTGCTGGACAAGTTGCATAATCTTTTCCTTAATCAACAGATCATTGATCTCCTAAAAACAGAAAGAGAGGTGATTTTTTTTTTTTTTTGAGATGGAGTCTTGCTCTGTCGCCCAGGCTGGAGTGCAGTGGCATGATCTCAGCTCACTGCAACCTCCATCTCCTGGGTTCAAGCAATTCTCCTACCTCAGGCTCCTGAGTAGCTGGGATTACCAGGTGTGTGCCACCACGCCCGGCTAATTTTTGTATTTTTAGTAGAGACGGGGTTTCAGCATCTTGGTCAGGCTGGTCTTGAATTCCTGACCTCGTGATGCACCTGCCTTGATCTCCCAAAGTGCTGGGATTACAGACGTGAGCCACTGCGCCCGGCCCAATGATGTAATATTTTAACCACCATTTCTGCCCTGCTGATAGAGGCAATAGGACACTAAGGCTAAAGTGTTAAGGTGGTCAGTAGCAAAAATGTCACATAGAACACAGAATAGGAAGAGTCCAGTTACTGCAGTAACAATATAGATAATCATTTAACTTTCTCTGAAAATGTATAACACTTAGCATTCCATAAACAAAAGGGTATAAAGAAAACTGCCTTATATATGGTAGGGACTCAACTTACTTGATGTATTAAATAAAAAAGAGAAAAAAAAAAGAGAAATTACAGCAAATCTCTTGGTAACAGTAGTAGTATTACAGATTTCTGAATATGACAAGAAGTAAATTATAGTTTGGGCATTTTGAAGAAGAATCTTATCTTTCAGAGACTACTGAGCATGTCCAGCCTTCTCAACAGCCATGTAATTCAAAACAACCTATAAAATTAGTCCTTTAAAAATAATTTAAAGCAAAAAACACATGCGGAAGATGTTAGGCTGGGTGTGGTGGCTTGTGCCTGTAATCCCAGCACTTTGTGAGGCCAAGGCAGGAGGATCACTTGAGCCCAGGAGTTCCAGGCTGCAGTCCTTTTAAGTTTCTTGAGTTAGAGCCTTTGAAGAATCTAACTGCACTGGAATATAAAATAATTTTATTTCAGAATAACCTCAAATGGACTATAATTTAATCCATGGTTTATAGCGAGGAGACTGCTCTAAGAAACAAAAATGCTGACAGGAAACAAAGTTAATCATTATGTAATATATAGTCTGCAACTGTCTTAAACATTCTGTTACCTCTATCATAGTGGCAGATCTCTAAAATTTTAGAAAATTTTGGGGGACTTTTGGTTAATACAATGATGGGGGCACTACTGATCGTCCTCCAATCCATGGGACAGTTCTCTGTAACAAAGAATTGTTACAAGGCCGGGCGTGGTGGCTCAAGCCTGTAATCCCAGCACTTTGGGAGGCCGAGACGGGCGGATCACGAGGTCAGGAGATCGAGACCATCCTGGCTAACACGGTGAAACCCCGTCTCTACTAAAAAAAAAAAATACAAAAAACTAGCCGGGCAAGGTGGCGGGCGCCTGTAGTCCCAGCTACTCGGGAGGCTGAGGCAGGAGAATGGCGTAAACCCGGGAGGCAGAGCTTACAGTGAGCTGAGATCCGGCCACTGCACTGCAGCCTGGGTGACAGAGCGAGACTCCATCTCAAAAAAAAAAAAAAAAAAAAAGAATTGTTACAAATAATTGTTTTGGTTTTTTGTTTGTTTTTTGAAACAGGGTCTCACTCTGTCGCCCAGGCTGGAGTGCGGTGATGCGATCTTGGCTCACTGCAACCTCTGCCTCCTGGGTTCAAGCGATTCTTGTGCCTACTGAGTAGCTGGGACTACAGGCCCCCACCACCACGCCCAGCTAATTTTTGGTTTTTGTTTTGTTTTGTTCTTTTAAGACAGTGTTTTGCTCTTGTCACCCAGGCTGGAGTGCAATGGCATGACCTTGGCTCATTGCAACTTCCACCTCCTGGATTGAAGCGATTCTCCTGCCTCAGCCTCCCAAGGAGCTAGGATTACAGGCATGTGCTACCACACCCAGCTAATTTTTGTATTTTTAGTAGAGTCAGGGTTTCACCATGTTGGCCAGGCTGGTCTCAAACTCCTGACCTCAGGTGATCCACCTTCCTCGGCCTCCCAAAGTGCTGGGATTACAGGTGTGAGCCACCACGCCCAGCCTAATTTTTGTATTTTTAATGGGACAGGGTTTCACCATGTTGGCCAGGCTGGTCTTGAACTCCTGGCCTCAAGTGATCCATCTGACTTGGCCTCCCAAAGTGCTGGGATTACAGGTGTGAGCCACCATGCCTGACCTACAAATAATTGTTATATTAATTTTTTTAATTATATGGTTGGATAGATATTATTACCTATGAATTTCATCTCAGGATAGTAAAGAAAATAGTACAAAATATTTCTGAAAGTATGCTTATCAAAAATGTTTAACTTGGCTGGGTGCAGTGGCTCACGCCTATAATTCCATCACTTTGAGAGGCTGAGGCAGGAGGATCACTTGAGGCCAGGAGTTCAAGACCAGTCTGGGCAACATAGTGAGACCCAGCCTTTAAAAAAAAAAAAAAAAATTTCACCTGAATCTAATCAGGCTTTTATAACAAATTTCCAATTTACGGGAAACAAAGGAACAAGTGAAAAGATATATAATGACCTTATATATCTTAAATAAAAAACAACCTATAGTACAAATAGTCTCCTTAACAAGACTTCTATCATGAGACAGAGGGGAATGTACTAAGAATACATCCAAAGCCCCACATGCTATGCTAAGCCTAGAGATTACAAAGATGAATAAGTCAGTTCCTGTCCTCAAGTAACCTACTGAGAAATCTATTCAATACTTGAATATTATAAAACTAAACTTTTCAGACTTCCTATTTCTGTAAAGGACACAAAAATAGCAGCAAAAAAGATGATAAAGTATTGCTAGTACCATTTTTCGGCCTCCAGAAGATCCTGATTCACACTATTGGTGCTGTGCTCTCTGCCATCAAATGTTCTGATTTTGGGATATTCTGTTCTTCTTGCACATGCTGCTCTCATTTTTAAATTGAAAGCAGCTTGTGCTATCTGCTTATAATGCTTCCTGCTAATTAGGATCTGTTGCTTCACTTGGTATAGAGCATCTAAAAAGAATCTTTCCACTTCTGTTCTCTCATCCAGTATGTTCTTGGCCAGCTTCTTCACACGATTCATTTCCCTGTCCTTCATCTGAAGAAGGTGCTGCAGCTTGTCAATTTCTACCTGACCCGCTTGGTTCTCTATCATTGCGTGTTGCTGCAGTTTTAAAACTTCACTCTCAAACTCTTTGGTCATGTAACCCAGAGCAGTCTCCAAGTTTACTACCTTCTTCTGAAGGGTTTGGATTTGTGATCTCTGCTGGACAAGTTGCATAATCTTTTCCTTAATCAACAGATCATTGATCTCCTAAAAACAGAAAGAGAGGTGATTTTTTTTTTTTTTTGAGATGGAGTCTTGCTCTGTCGCCCAGGCTGGAGTGCAGTGGCATGATCTCAGCTCACTGCAACCTCCATCTCCTGGGTTCAAGCAATTCTCCTACCTCAGGCTCCTGAGTAGCTGGGATTACAGGTGCCCACCACCACACCCAGCTAATTTTTGCACTCTTAGTAGAGACAGGGTTTCACCATGTTTGCCAGGCTGGTCTCGAATTCCTGACCTCAGGCTATCTGCCTGCCTTGGCTAGGATAACAGGCATGAGCCACTGTGCCCGGCCGATTTTTTTTTTTTTTTACTCATTCCAGAACTTAGAAAGTTCCTCACTAATTTCCATTACTTCATGAGATTTGAGTTTTATGCCAGGCTGAGGTGATATTTTGGTATTTTATGTAGAGAGTAACAAACATCCTAGGATCCTTGTCGGGACTTGGGAAGGCAATCTACTAATTGTGAATTTTGCTAATTAAGAAACTTTCTTGCAGCCATAAAACAAGAATGAAGGGCTGAGCATGGTGGCTCATGCCTGTAATCCTGGAGCTTTGGAAGGCCAAGGTGGATAGATCACCTGAGGTCAGGAGTTCGAGATCAGCCTGGCCAACATAGCAAAACCCTGTCTCTACTAAAAAATACAAAAATTAGCTCGCCATGGTGGTGCATGCCTGTAGTACCAGCTACTCAGGAGGCTGAGTGAGGAGAATCACTTGAACCCAGGAGGTAGAGGTTGCAGTGAGCCAAGATCATGCCACTGCATTCTAGCCTGGGTGAGAATGAGACTCCATCTCTCTCTCTCTCTCTCTCTCTCTCTCTCTGTGTCTCTGTCTCTCTCTCTCCTTCACTCTCTCTCTCTATATATATATACACACACACACATATATATAAACTATACAGCAAAACATTAATAACTATATTGGAAACTGTGGCATATCCTTGTTGCTTATACCAATATCTATTTTCCCTTTCCCTTTCCTCCTTAGTAGTAAAACCCCAACTTCATTCAGAAAGGCAGTTAAGTCCATCTGAAAATTCCCAGTCTCCCTTGAAGTTCAGCATAGCCATTTTCTAGTCAATGATATGTAAATAGAAATGTGTGTAGGACTTCCAGAAAGACCTCTTAAAGGAAAGGCACACTTTTTTCTTTTTTTCTTCCTTCCTGCTATTTAAAGGAATGGTTAGAGCTCCAGCATCCCCCACTGGGCTGTGAGGTAAGTTTGAGGATGTAAGCCAAGTGTTGCAGAGCAGAGTTAAGGAAGCTGAGTGTCTATTAACTTTGTGGCACTACCATTCCTGCTGAGGATTGCTTACCTCCAAGACTCCTCTAGGTGAAAGAATAAAAGTGTGGTGATGCCACTGATGTCAGGACTGTTACTCACAGCTAAATGTATTCCTAAGTGACTTAGGGACCAACTCTAGGCAAAGAAAAATGAATATTCTAAGGTAGTAGAGGATAAGGGTCTTATTTATGTTTCTGATATATTCTTTATAAAGTTGAGTCTAATGCTTCTTATAAGTATTATAAGATTGATTATTTAACCTTTACAGATAAAAAAAGTGCATCATCCAGACAGATGAAAAATGGTCTCATTGTCCTTATATATCATTATTACACTCAATTTTTGTTATTTATCAACCCAATCCTTAAATAAAGAAAAAAAGGACACCAAGTCTAAATGAGAGGGAACCTTTTGATGTAAAAGTAAAGCATGACTCTCTTGCAACTTCTGGGAGTTTTTTTGTAGAGCGCCAGCTTCCTTCAGGTGATATGCCAGGGCTTTCTGGAGATAAACATTCTCTTTAAAAACATTTCTTCCAGCATCGTTCAATTGCCTGAAATAGATATAAGATCTCAAAACACAGGTCTAACTTTTAGATATTGCCAAAATAGCAAAATGATTGCTTTACCACCTGCACCCCCCAATATTAGCAATAGCGACCACCACTTATTTAGCTTATGGTGGGTACTCAATAGTTAGGTGGGAATCTTGTAATTTAAGTTCTTGCCCAATAAAAAAGTGAAAACGGCTGAATGCAGTGGCTCACATCTATAATCCCAGCACTTTGGGAGGTTGAGATGGGAGGATCACTTGAGTCTAGGAATTTGAGACCAGCCTAGGCAACACAGTGAGACCCAATCTCTAAGAAAATCTAAAAAATTAGCCAGACATGGTGGTTTGCACCAGTAGTCTGTCGCAGCTACTTAGGTAGCTGAAGAAGGAGAACCACTTGAGCCCAAGAAGTCAAGGCTACAGCAGAGAGCCATGACTCCACCAGTGACAGAACGAAACCCTGTCTCAAAAATAAATCAATCAATAAAGTGAAAAAGGATGGGTTACTTCTAGTCCAAGGCAGTTAAGAGCAGGTATGAGTCTCCCATGCTCTTTCCTGTCCACATGACTGGACATGAAAAACTCAAACATGGAAGAGGTGCAAGAAGGAAGCAGTGAGGTTCCTGAATCATCTCTGGAGGAGAGCTGCCAGACCCACATAGGATTGTTCCATGAACAAGAAATAAACCATTAAGACTTGAGAGTTAGATATACTTCCACTAATATACCTCATGACAGCCCTGGTTTTATTATCTATTTATTTTTATAAACTCAGATTACTAGGAGAAGTAAATTAGCCCTACTTTTAGATGAAGAAATTTAACTTCAAGAAAGTTAAGAAATGTGGCCTGGCGCAGTGGCTCACATCTGTAATCCCAACACTTGGGGGAGGCCAAGGCGGGTAGATTGCTTGAGCCCAGGAGTTCAAGACCAGCCCGGGCAACATGGCAAAACCCAGTCTCTACAAAAAATACAAAAATTAGCTGGGCGTGGTGGCACATGCCTGTAGTCCCAGCTACTCTGGAGGCTGACGTGGGAGGATCACTTGAGCCCAGGAGGTGGAGGATGCAGTGAACCACAATCGCGCCAATGTACTCCAGCCTGGGTGACAGAGCCAGACCCTGTCTCAAAAACAAAGAAACAAACAAAAAGGTAAGAAATCTTCCTAAGGTTAGTTAGCATACATGTTGAGAACCAAAGTCAAATTCAGGCTGGGCACAGTGGCTCATGCCTGTAATCCCAATACTTTGGAAGGCCGAGGTGGGTGAATCACTTGAGGTCAGGAGTTCAAGACCAGCCTGGCCAAGATGGTGAAACCCTGTCTCTACTAAAAATACAACAATTAGCTGGGTGTGGTGGCAGGTGCCTGTAATCCCAGCTACTCAGGAGGCTGAGACATGAGAATCGCCTGAACTTGGGAGGCAGAGGTTGCAGTGAGCCAAGATCATGCCACTGCACTCCAGTCTGGGTGACAGAGTGAGACTCCACCTCAAAAAAATAAATTAAATAAATAAATAAATAAATAAGTTCAAAGCCCAGGTTCTTTCCACCACACCTTGCTGCCACAGAAAGAGTGGAGGAGAAAGGGGTAGGAGTACACAAAGAGAAACAAACAGTGAGGGACAGTAGACCAGAAAATTTGAAGCAAGTAAGCCAGAACAGAAGGGGGAAGACAAGCAGGTAAGAAGAAAACAGACCAGCAAAGAGGCAAGAGAGGCTATCAGAGTCAGAAAGGAGGCAGCAGTCTCTTACACAACAGCCTCATGGTGGGCTCTCTCTGCCAGCATTATTATCTTCTTTTCAGCCTCTTGTTCTAGTCGGTGCTAAAAAAGAAAATGGCCTGCTTAAATAGTTATGCCTCTAACAACAAATTTTACTCATCAAAAAGTATTTTAGAATGTCAAATAAAAAACTCCTATCCCCATGACCTGAAAGAAGAACTCCCAAGCACTGGTGGAGGAGCCAACAAAGAGGACAGTGTAAACACAGGAACCTTAGGGTACCGCCCCATTTCCCCACTTAAGCAAGCAATATGACATATAAGTAGGGGAGAAAAATCACTTCCATATTGGAAAGCAGAGCCAGGAGGAATTTCTGCTAAATGCACTGAAATGAGAGTTATTCATTTATTCATTCAGGACTAGGCTGTTCTCAGTAGCCTCTCCCTCTACTCCACCCTAATCTTGATTTCTTTTTTACTTGGTGTAGAAAATAAAAATTAGAAGTGCTTGGTCAGTCTACAAAACACTATGAGCATTGGCCGGGCACGGTGGCTCACGTCTGTAATCCCAACACTTTGGGAGGCCGAGGCGGGTGGATCACCTGAGGTCAGGAGTTCAAGACCAGTCTGGGCAACATAGTGAGACCCAGCCTTTAAAAAAAAAAAAAAAAATTTCACCTGAATCTAATCAGGCTTTTATAACAAATTTCCAATTTACGGGAAACAAAGGAACAAGTGAAAAGATATATAATGACCTTATATATCTTAAATAAAAAACAACCTATAGTACAAATAGTCTCCTTAACAAGACTTCTATCATGAGACAGAGGGGAATGTACTAAGAATACATCCAAAGCCCCACATGCTATGCTAAGCCTAGAGATTACAAAGATGAATAAGTCAGTTCCTGTCCTCAAGTAACCTACTGAGAAATCTATTCAATACTTGAATATTATAAAACTAAACTTTTCAGACTTCCTATTTCTGTAAAGGACACAAAAATAGCAGCAAAAAAGATGATAAAGTATTGCTAGTACCATTTTTCGGCCTCCAGAAGATCCTGATTCACACTATTGGTGCTGTGCTCTCTGCCATCAAATGTTCTGATTTTGGGATATTCTGTTCTTCTTGCACATGCTGCTCTCATTTTTAAATTGAAAGCAGCTTGTGCTATCTGCTTATAATGCTTCCTGCTAATTAGGATCTGTTGCTTCACTTGGTATAGAGCATCTAAAAAGAATCTTTCCACTTCTGTTCTCTCATCCAGTATGTTCTTGGCCAGCTTCTTCACACGATTCATTTCCCTGTCCTTCATCTGAAGAAGGTGCTGCAGCTTGTCAATTTCTACCTGACCCGCTTGGTTCTCTATCATTGCGTGTTGCTGCAGTTTTAAAACTTCACTCTCAAACTCTTTGGTCATGTAACCCAGAGCAGTCTCCAAGTTTACTACCTTCTTCTGAAGGGTTTGGATTTGTGATCTCTGCTGGACAAGTTGCATAATCTTTTCCTTAATCAACAGATCATTGATCTCCTAAAAACAGAAAGAGAGGTGATTTTTTTTTTTTTTACCACAAACAACACTTTTTAGAACAGTAGTCTACTCTGTCAACCAGGATGGAGCTGGCGTTGCATTGATCTCGGACTATGGAACCTTTGCCTCCTGGTTCAGTGATTTTCTGCTCGCCTGTCCTGAGTGTAATTTTCTGTTTTTTCAGTAACGAGAGGGGTTTCCCATGTTGGGCAGGTCGTTGACTCCTGACCTCAGGTGACCTGCGCATTCGGCCTCCAAAAGTAGGATTGGGCATGAGCCACACTCTGGCTCTACATCCATGTTTTTATTTGTGGTCCCTTCTGGAATGGCGGTTCCCCCACTCTGAGTCATTCTTATTTAGAGCAAATCATTTTTCTTTTAGGAGGATTGCCTAAATGTCTAATCTAAAATGAGGGCTAGGAGTGAATGCTCACGCTTCATCCTGCACTTTGGGCAGGCCAAGGCTGGTGGATCCTTGAGCAAAGGGTTGGTGCCAGCCTGGTCAACATGTGGAAACCTTTTCTCTATAAAAATACAAAATTAGCTGGGCATGGTGGTTGCGCCTGTAGTCCCGGTGATCCAGCGGGAGAATTGAGGATACCCGAACTCGGGAGGAGATGTTGAGTGAGCCGGGATTCGTTGCCATTGGCATCCAG